TATACTAAAGTATGACCACTTTTACTTGCATTGCTTCCATCACTGGGCTTGCAGTTTGGTCCCTTATAAGAAATGAATCAGTGACGCCTGTTTAATCTTATTTGTTATGCATTATTTAAACATCTGTAAGCTGCTTTGCATCCCAATTAGTCTCAACTTTGCTGGACCTGAGCTGGGGTCTGCTCTTCACCTTGTTCTCACTGTAGTGGTCCCGACTGAATTAGCGTTAGAGCTCTATATGTAGCGTCTCGTAGTGCAAGATGTTCAGTAACGGCAGGGCTGGCGGCTCAAACCCCGACTCCATCTGTCCCTAAATGAAAGTGACTTTGAGCAGGAGAACCACACCATCTATGTGAGTCTACATGAGAGGCAGAGAGTTTACAACCAGCTAAATAACAACAGTTGAACCATTAGGACACAAATCATGAGCTCTTTCCTCAGTTTTTAATATTATATAATGAAGGAATAAAAGGTGCATTTAAAAGGAGAATAAATCATCAATAACTCCATCTAGTGATACAACAGCAAAGCACAAGTATTTAGACACGACAGTGAAACTGTAAAGTGACCCGAGCAGACTGCGGTTTAATACTGAAGGAAATCACTAAAGCCTCAGGAAATACTCCAGATTAATGAAAAGATGCAGTTAAATTTAGAAATATGATAAAAATATGATAATGTCCTTCCAAAGAAAGACTGCAGGCTCCTCTCTGACAGTCCCATCAGGATGTCTCAGAGGAAATTATAAGAACCATCAAACAGGCAAAGTCGGGATTATCATAACAACCATCGTACAATAAACACAGTTAATATGATAATGTGTGGAATTAGAGCTGCGATCGTTAAATGATCAGTCCTCTGATCCGCAAATGGACATCTTCACGCATCTCAGCACCAAACAGACTAAACAGCTGATCCGGTTCAGAGGTGACTGGCTCGTAAATTAATAGCTCAATATGGAAAATCCTGTTGTGTGCATGCAGCCTCGGGGCTAGCTGAGGGGATCAGAGTCTGGGACTTACTATCGGGATGTCCTGATCATGTTTATTGACAGGAGAAATGGTATCTGTACATGGCTCTGCTCATGGTGTTAATTCTTCTAATCCCTATGGATTAATATAATAACCATACTTCTCTTTAAAAACACTTTGATGTTAGCCGTGCTGTGGTGTTTAACTCTGTCTCTCTCTGTCTTTGTCGCTCTCTCTAAAGTTCTGATTCTCTTGTTTCAATTGTAAATTTAAATTTAGGAATTTGTCAATAAAAACAGACAATATTCTGTCATGACTCTGTCCATGGTGCTGAATAAAACCATCTGACTTTCTGGCCCCATAAATGCTGATTGTGAAACGTGTTTGGCAGAAACCATATTAACATGAAGCTACTGTGACTCTGTCCTTTGTCCTAAAACAAGCCTGTAATCATCTCTGTCTGTGTCTTTGTGACCCCCCCCCAGTCATGGCAACATTTTTAACTATATTTAATTTAAGGCCATAAAAACAATCAGTCACACGCGCCGTGACTCTGCTGCTCCAACATTGTCAGTAGTCAGCTGGAGTTCTGTCCGCGGTGCTGAAGCAGCGTCCCCACGTTTCCTCAATGATTCACATATTTAATTTTGAGCCATATTTGAATGAACTCAGCTGTTGTTGAGTCTGTGACTCTGTCCGCGGTGCTGATCTCCATAATCTTCCCGCCGCTGTGAACAACCTCCGCCCCACGTCACAGTGGTAACGATGCCCTGCGTGTTGCAGCGATATTAAAGTGCTGCAGACACAACAAGCGCCTGTCCCCGCGTGGAAATATAAACCCTAACTTAGTGTAAGTGAGCGAGTCCCGATCACAGAAGCGCGAGCGCATCGAGACAAAGTCACAGCAGGAACATTCGAGACAGTCTGGAGGAGCGCGAGCGCTCGGGTCCAGGCGTCCACGCGTGATCACGATATGAATGATGTGGATATGTGGGGGTCGGGCTGCTCAGACCCGGGTTCTCGGGGCTCACTCACCTATGTTGATGTTAGTTGGGAAACTTGTGCCGCTGCAGAGCCCGAGCAGCAGCGGGAGCAGGGCAGCGGGCAGCGGGCAGCTCTGCGGCCGCATGGTTCCTCCTGCAGTCCCGGAGGAGCCGCCGTAATCCCATTCACAGCTGACCGGAGAGACGCTCCGCAGCCCGGGAGCACACTCACGTCCACCGGTAGCGCTCCT